TAATATTACAATTATTATATTAAATGTAAAAAGAAAGTATTGAAAAATATTCTATAGGTACTTTATTCATTTATATATATGTATATAAAACATTAGCATTTTTCTGCAATAAAGATTATTTCCTCGAAGAAAGAAATATTTATAACTTACTCATACTTCAGTAATTTTAACGATGTCTGTCAGTTTCACTAACTCTTATTCAATTAAAAAATTAAATTTTAGCTTTGGATTTAAAAAACAATAGAACAATGAAATTTTACAAAGTTTGTTATATCAAGACAATAGAGAAAAATAAAGTTTACTCACGTGGAATGGACATCCGTATTCCTTTTGGGTAAAGTGGTTCCACAGTCGGTGTAGGAGGGATATATTGCGCTATGTTTTCTTGAATTAATATATTAAATAACAAAATCAAAGTGACAAAGAGCCATTTCGTTCCGAGAACGTTCATGATGACTACGTCTGACGATGTTGGCGGTCCAAGCGATACTGAGAAACGCGATGCCACTACAGAATTATATTGAAAACTGGTTTCAGTATAAATACACCTACCTTGATAGTACTTAGCGCTTGGAAGTGGTTCTTCGTGATTTTGTGGCGATTCATTATTTTATTTCTGCCACTGATGTAAAAAATTTTATTCAGCGAATGAGTTCATACAAATATTTCATCGAAGAAAATTATCATTGAACGATCTAACAGATCGTTGATTATTACTGTATTCCTTTCATTGTTGTTCCCATGAGATCGAAATTATACGGGCTTGCGCAGTCTTATTAACGGATTTAAAATTGGTATTATCATAGGATACTAGATTACGAATTAATTAAATTAGCTGATTTTAAATTGGGATTAATTTATACATTTTAACAATTTTTATAATACGAATTTTATTTTGTCATATTTCTTCTTTTTTATAAAAAGGTTGAGTAAAACCAGTCAATTTTCAAGTTTATTTCTTCAAACCATTTTGTAAAATAATTATGTTGTTTATTTTATGCTGAATTAAGATAAATTTACGTATATTACGAGATATGTAATCAGTGAAATATGAATACAGATTTTTCCCTATTTTGCAAGAGTTGGAATATCATTTCAGTAGATAAACCAAATTAGCCAATTAGTCAATAACTTTTGTATTATCAATATAACTTGTTTATTTCGTGGATGCAAATAATTCTCATTTTCATGTATCGTTTTACGTTCTATTTCAATCCTTTTTATGCGATAGTAACAGGAAAATATTGATAAAAGAAGATAAAAAAGAAATTTGCATCTTAATAATAATATTTTTTTGTTAATTCAAAGAACTCACTTTTTTGAAAATGATTTAATTAATAACACTAATTATATCATATATAATCCTTGTAAGCAAAAATACTCTCATTCTCTGTCGTACTTTATATTTCATTTTACTCATTTTTATTCCAAGTTTAATTAACATAAGATAGTTATATTTGAAACACTATTAAAGCAATGAAAATTAAAAACAGTATTGTTAATAGTTCCGTTTCCTGTTACTTATTGTCAATATAAAATTTAAAACGACTCATAATTTACGACATGTTCAGTTGTCTTGTGTGAAGAATACATAAAAGAATAAAACAAGTTTTATTGTGATTTTTTAATTGGTAATTTAACTTCTTATATAAACCGTACAAAATGAGATGAGTAAATTGTATCTAGGGACATTTTTTGTTGTTGAGTAACTGAAATTAGTTGACCCATCGTTTCCAGCCGCCATAAGTTCCAATCAGTTTCGACGATTTCGTGCCAAGTTTCGTTAAGTTATTGTGTAACAAAGAAAGGTTTCTGTGAATTTCACATCAAAAGTGTTGCTGCTTCCCGAATATCCAGTCGTAAGTACTAGTTTATAATTTCAATTAATAACATTGATATTTTTACTTTTGTTCCACACTTTCGTTAAAATGTTGAATGTCTTGAACGAATTGTTCAGATTAATGCGATTAACTACGTGTTTAAAAGACACAAAGTTCTTGCGTAATTATAATAAAAAAATTTTTATTACACTTGTTATACTATTATAAATGCAATTTTTGAAAATATATTGTAACTAAATTAAAATTAATACGTCGTCTATAATTATGGCAATCACATTTGAATGGTTGTCAGTGCATATGCTGAACTTCTGTATTTAATAAAGGTGTCTTGAAGTTGTAGTCAGCATTTATAACATCTGAAGAAAAATGATTTAATCCTTGTTTTCCTTTCTTTGAATACTAAACAAATTAATGTATTTTGTCTATCCAATTTGACTTCTCACGAATTCAAGGTATTGGGTATTCTCTCTTTTTACATACATACTATATAGCACATCACATTTGTACATTACTTGTACATTAAAATGTAATAAAGAGCTATATAAGATGTTTTTTGTCACTTTGTATTCTATTTTATGAATTTTAATAAATATTTCAATGTATTCATTCATGACTTTAGGTTATTTTTAATAACTACAATTTTGGCGTACATTTAAGACCTATATCTATGTCAAATTATATGGTTTGGTATATATAATATTTTGACATACAACAATAACACTGTTTACATTCTTCTGTGGTAATGAATTTTAATGTTCATAAGCACATACCAATTATACATATTTAAATCATATTTTATGTATTTTCTAACAAATTGCTATTGCAATGATGACAATACTTTCAATTAACTATTTATAATACGTTCATATCAGTATCAACCTTTTTTCAAATCTACTGCATTATTCTTCAAATATGATGTAATTTTAGGTTCATCTATGATTATTTTGCTTAATTTCAGCTTTCAACAAATTTTGTTTATATTAAATAAAAAAAGAAGCATAAATATATGCTAAATGTGGAAAGCTAGTATCTTTTAACAAATGTATGTGCATCACATCTAATATAAATCCTAATCTTTTTAAAATCTGCATTTGCTTTGATTTTTTATAAAATGTATCCATCTCCTTTATCTATAATATATCATATATTAATATGATATAATTGGGGCATCCCATTACATTATCAAATATTTTATTAATTTTCATATATTATCTTATATGTAATGATTAGAAATGTGTTGATGGCTTATTTAATTCTTTTGTAAGATATTATTTTTTATATGAGTATATCTTATCTGTTGAAAAAATATATTGTAAATATACCAGTATATAAGCAAATAATTGCATAATCATGAAATTTCTTATTTGATGTTTCTGAATTCTAAAAAAATGTTTATTCTTTTGCATTTAGTAATTTAATACAGTAGTGATGCATCTAACAACTTGAATAATTTAAGTAAATTATTCAGTAGGATATGATAATAATCACACTATAAAAATTTACTAAGTGCAAGGGATTAAGGGACAAAATGTTTAACTTATAGTATTTCCATAATAGTTTATTTGTATAAACACTGGTGATTATATGTTCATTGTCTATAATGAATATATTTTGTATTATTTTACTTGCTTATAAGTATCTTGATAATAAGTATTTTTCCCTGAGTATTTTATGAGAGTTTATATTTGTTTAACCCTTTATATGTTAACTGTAATAAATAGAAATACAAATTTAAAATTTAAGCAATAAATTTCTATATATTTTATTCTTGTAGTAAGTGACTGATTAAAAAAATTCCAGGTGATTTTTAACTCATACTTTACATTTGTGTATATAGTTGCAACTTCTATTTTTTTTTATAGCAGCCTTAATATTAAAATTTGCAGATATTTTTAAACTAATGTATATATAATTTTTACAAATATTTTTTACATTTATGTATGATTGGTGATTGTACCATAAAAGAGAAATAAATAACTGAATAGAGATCTTTAGTATATTTTATGCACATGTGTAGTAGTAACTCTATAACAATTTTCTTTGAATATAAAATAGCGTCCAAACGGACTGTGGCCCTTAAAACAGTTTGGAATGCGCTAGCAAGCCATTTGCTAGAGTGAGAGAGGGTTTAAAAAATGCAAAATTGGAACCAATGGCAATTGTCAGCTGGTGCTGTTGCAACTCCAATGCCACAACCACCAGTTGGTTATGCTGCACCAGGAGCAGATCCTATGGCTATGATGCAAGCGTATATGCAGTATTATAATCAGCCAGTAAGTAGTTTATTGAAAATGTATTTCTATATCATAGCAATGAACTAAAGTAAACTAAATCTTCTTCAACTGCTTATTGCATATAAATTAATATATTTTCCATGATACACTAATGTATCAATAAAAATTTAGTTAAAAGTATATAATATATTCTTATAATATGTTCCATTCTTAATACAAACATGAATTTATTTCTTATAGAACAGAAATGTTTCTATAAATATAATAATAATAATAATAATAATAATACACATTTATGTTATTAGGCACCTAGTGGATATACAGCAGAACAATGGGCTGCAGCTCAACAGCAAAACTGGGCTCAATGGCAGCAATGGCAACAACAATATCAGCAATGGCAAGCACAGTATGGAGAAAAGGTATATAGAAGATGTAGAAAAATATAATCATAAGTAAATTAATGATTGTAATTATATTTTTTACACATTATCAAAAAATTCTACTATATTGTAATCAAAATGACGATTGTTTCTTTAATAAGATTTTAAGAATACTGATTTTATCTTGATTCATTGATTTATCTTTGTTTCAGTATCAAGAAACAATGAAACACATGTCAGCCCAGAATATGAGCTTAGCCAATCAGGTGCCACAATTACCAATTGTACAACCTCCACCACCTCTTCCAAAAGAGGACACAAAACCACCATTACCTCCAACTACTATGAACACATATCAATTTACGAGCATGCCTCCCCCACATCAAAACAATCTTCCATTATTTCCCGTTAAACAAAACGTGAATAGCCCAATGCAACAAACAAATATACAAAACTGTCCTCAAAATCCTCCTTTACCTCCAAACCAACCCCCATTACCTCCTGAAAGTAGTAATAGTAGTAAAGAAAATAATAATTTAAATGGTAAGCGCAGTAATAATACTGTTAGTGAATCTAATAGTGCTAAAAAGTTAAAACTTGAAGATGAAGAATTAACTGAGGCTGAGAAAACATTTGATGCTCAGTTTAAACAGTGGGAGGAACAGTTTAATAAGTGGAAACAGCAAAATGCTAATCATCCAGATAAGGTAGGTGATATTAAAATTATTAATGCATAATATAAGCTAGAAAAAAAAGAAAAAAAAAAGATAGACATGATTAAGATATCTTTAAGTGAATTATTACTAGCTCTAATATTATGCAAAACAGAAATTATTTTATTCTAGACACAATACAAACAATACGAAGCAAAATGGACATCCTGGCGAGAAAAACTCATTGAACGACGTGAACAAATGCGTAAAAAACGCGAACAACAAAAACAAGTTGTTAAGGCAGATGTTGAAAAGAATAAAAGTTTACCTGGTGATGATAAAATATTGAACATTTTGTCAAGCACGGAGAATCAAGGATTGATTAATAATTTGTTGGGTATTGGAAAGACTCTTGGTTTAACTGGGAAGCAAAACACTAACGTACCCCCACCGCCACCACCACCACCAGCTACAGAATCTTTAGCATCTAATGTTCAAACAGCAACTATGACATCTTCCTCTCAAGCATTGTCAACAGCACAATTACCAGTTATGAACATGATGTCCTCTAATATGATGACTTCATCACCATGGAATTCCCAACAATGGGCACCACAATACAATGCAGGAGTGAATGTACCAAATTTTCCTAACTTCCAAACTATGACTGGTGTACCTCCACCACCATTTAGTATGCCACCAACTCAAATGCCTCCACCAAACTTTACGCAACCACCACCGAATTTTCCAGCTATACCAAACTTTTCACAACCACCACCGGGTTTTGCTAGTAACGACTCACGACAGAATCTTAATGTACGGCCATCGGTTCCTTCCAGTATGCAAGGAAGACCTCCATCATTTGGTCCAAATACTGGTAACACTCCAGATGGAAATTTAATACATAATGAACGTCAAAATCAAGCTGGTTCTATAAACAATTTTGATTCAGTAGGTCATTCAAATAATTTTGGTGTGAATGAACCTGTTCGACAAAAGGAAGGAGTATCAGCAGAACGTTTTGGTCAAGATGGTATCAGCGATCAACAAAGTAATCAGTTCCGATGTAATGATATGTTCGGTCAGCGGAATGAAAATTATAAATTAAACGATGAACGAGTATCCGAAGCAGATCAGTTTAGAAGAGATGATAGGAACTATCAAGAACATGGAAGCAATCAATTCAATCAACAGAAATTGAATTATAATAATGACAGATTTTCCTCTGGTAGCGATCGATTTGGACCAGGAAATAATCGATTTGGCCCAACAAATGATAGATTTGGAGCTAGTAATGATCGGTTTGGAATGACAAATGATCGATTTGGACCGAGTGACAATAGATTTGTTACTGGAAGTGATAGATTTGGACCAGGAGGTGACAGAATTGGACAAGGAAACGAACCTGTTAATGATCGTTTTGGTTCAAATAATGAATCTTATGGTCCTGCAGGTGATAGGTTTAATAGAAATAATATGGATCGTTTTGATCAAAAAGACGCAGGAGATAACAGACGTGAAAGTTTCCAAAATTCTTCAAGAGGTTTTAACAGAAATAATCAATTTGAACCATCAGATAAATTTGCTCCAGAACTGAAGAAGCTTATGGAAAAAAGAAGAGCTGCAATGGATGTATTTAAACCAAGTTATCTTGACTCTGATAAAAGTAGCAACATTGGTTCATTGAGTGAAAGCTTTAAAAAGATCACAGGTGATTCTCCATTCATGAAGCCTGGTGGAAACAACAATTTTGGACCTCGTGGGCCTTCCATCTTTGGACCTGGAGTACCTGCTAATTTCAGAATGTCCGGAGATTTCAAGCTACAAGGAAATCCTGAATTTGGACCGCGTTGTCCTACAGGGATTGGACGCAATAATTCGTTTGACTTGCGGGATGGAAATACAATTTCATTCAGGGGACCTAATTCCAGTCCACAGCAAATGCAAGACTTCATGAATATCGAACCCAGACCAGAGATAGTAAGTCTCGGAAACGATGCGGACGTAAATAATGAGAATAAAATTGAACCTATCACTGTAATAGAACAAGCAATAATTGGTTCAAATTTAGGTGAACAAAACATTGATGGTGCACAAAAAGATATTTCTGAGACTTATTCAGTTCAAAAAGATATTCCATTGCTAGAAAAACCACCTTGGGTCGATGCTCAACTTCCCGAAGATAACTCATTACAAAAGGATAATATTAAAGAGGAAGAAATTCCATCTGCAAATTATAGTTCCTCAGAACAAGATCCACAAAATGCATTCAAAGAACAGACAGAAGTAAAACAAGAGTTATCTAATAATGACAATGAAGATACTGAAAAAAAGCCTGAAGTGTTACCTTTTATGGGAGAAAATGATCCAAAGCCTGAAGATTTAAATATGGAACCACCACCAGAATTACCTAATTTAGGTCCTGTTTCCACAGATACCACTGAACCTCCTGATTCTATACAAAGAACAGATGAATCATATGACACAAAAGAGTCTTCTTTAAAACCGTTTGTAAATAATTCTGAGTGTTTTGATTCTAGAGGACCTTTTGATTCTGCATTCTGTCCAAGAATGCAGTTTAGGCCAAGTACACCCTTCTTGGCCAATAGAGGTCCTAATGATGCTAGGTTTCCCATGTTTGAGCCTAGGGATCCAAACACATTTCCATTCAATTCTATTGGTCCACATCCATATTCATTAGGTCCTCGAGGACCTAGTGATGCACAATTTGGTCCAAGAGGGCCCAATGATGGGCAGTTTGGTCCAAGAAGTTCAAATGATGGACAGTTTGGACCAAGAAGTTCTAATAATGGACAGTTTTGTCCTCGAGGGCCTGGTGATGGACAGTTTGGTCCAAGAGGTACCAATGAAGGTCAATTTAGCCAACGGGGTTCAAATGATGGACAGTTTGGTCCAAGAGGTCCTAATGATGGACAATTCGTTTCTAGAAGTGCCAGTGATGGAATGTTTGGTTCAAGAGGTCCTAATGATGGACTGTTTGGACCAAGAGGTCCTACTGATAACCAATTTGGGTTAAGAACTCCGAATAATGCTCAGTTTGGACCTAGAGCTTCAAATGTTGGACAATTTGGTCCTAGATATGATGCCCAGTTAGGTTTAAGACGACCTAACAATGGACAATTTGGTCCTAGAGGATCAAATGATTCACAGTTTGGATCTCAAGGATCTAATAATAGACCATTTGGACCTGGTAGGCAAAGTGATGCACCATTTGATAATCGAGGTTCCTGTGATTCCCAGTTTATGCCTAAAGGACCCAATGAAGGACAAATTAGATTTTCAGGACCAAATGATAGGCTTTTTGGATCGCGACGCAATGACCCACCTTATCAAAGAAGTCCAGGTGGTTCAAAAGGAGCAAATGATGGACAGTTTCCAAATAGATTTAATGAAAAACAGTTTGATAATTCTACTGACGGATGTTTTGGTCCTCAAGGTTCAAACGACACGTACTTTGGTTCACGAGGGTCAGTAGCTGGCTCAAATGATA